CTCCTGTGGAAAGAAGGCAAAACATTCCACCAATATGTCACTCGCTACTAGGAGGAGGTAAATGAAGTAGAAAGGTGCTCCGAGGTCATGGTAGCGGCTTCTTTCAGATTTGGCCTCTCTCGAGACATAGATCTTTACCAGTCGCTGATGAAATGGACACTGGCAAACATGAGCTAGTTGATGGCCCTGATCAACAATTACTCCAGAATAGAAGATGAGTTGGTGGGGAGTAAAGGTAAAAACTTGGCCCCAAAGAAAAAAGGATAAGGAGAAAGAAGGAGACCTTCCTCGGAAAGGTTTGATCCTAGCATCGAAGAATTCCTTCAGAAGGGTCCACACTGTATTCAAAGAACCCATCTACAAGTTGTTGCACAAGATCAAGAAGGAGCCTTTCTTTAAGTGGCCACCCAAGATGCAGGGCTATCTGTCCACCAAGAACTAGAATGCAAGGTGTTAGTACCACAAGGGATGGGGCACCTTACCGAAGATTGCCGAGTTTACAAATCCTTCCTAGAGAAGTTGGTGCATGAGGGACATCTCAAGGAGTACATTGAGGAGGAGGCACCGAGGGAAACATGTGCCACCAAGGACCAGGCCCACTATCCGTGGTAACATCATTGACATCATCCATGTCTGCCCTTGGAGTGGTCGATGACCAACTCTCTTAGATCCGACCTAAAGAGGGTAGCCTTTGCTAGGAAGGTGGAAGAGAAAGATGAGGGCAAGCCAAGTACGAGGCCCCGGACGGATCAAGGGGGGATCATTTTCTCAACGCCAACTTGGTAGGCGTAGTCCTCCCCATAAGGATGCCTTAATCATTACCTTGCGGATTGGAGGGTTTGATGTCAAGAGGATCCTAGTTTGATGTACATCGACGTATTGAAACGAATAGGCCTTGGATTCAAGGATCTTACCACTGTCAGGACACCCTTTGCCAGGTTCAAAGAATCATTTGCCCTACATTTAGGGAAGATCACCCTGCCGATCACCATGGGACCTGTCACGATCAACATAGAGTTCATAGTGATCGATTCTGATTCACCATATAACATAATTCTGGGGCAGACTTAGCTGTAGTCACTTGGGGCAGTGCACTCCGCCTACCATAAAAAGTTGAAGTTTCTTACTTTGGAGGGGATAATGGAGATTTGTGGAGACCAAGCTTTGGCAAAGAGTTGTTTCTATGTCGTCGTGAAAGCTAGAGTCGCCTCCAAGGAAGAGGAGCATGCCTCGGAGGAAGTATTGAACAAATAGCAACTACAGTCCAGACAACTGGGTGTCGATGAGCCACGAATTGACCTAGTCGATCACTCCGTAGAGGATCTCTATAGGGTGCTCCTGACGGAGGGGGACGAGGAGAGATACTCCTTGATCGGCTCCACCATGTCCCTTGTCGAGTAGGAGGAGATGACCAACTTCTTAAGGTAAAACATGGATGTGTTTGCATGGGATGCCGTAGAGATGAAAGGAATAAGTCCCGATGTTATAACTCACAAGCTCCATGTTGATCCTAGTCATAAGCCCATAAAGCAAAACCCTCGGCTTACGGTGCCGCATCACGCCCAGGTGGTAAACGAAGATGTAGAGAGGCTTTTGGAAGCCAACGCCATCTAGGATGTACAATTTTTAGAATGGTTGTCGAACACCGTCTGTGCAAAAAAGAAGAGTGGAAAGTGGTATAACTACGTAGACTTAATAGACTTGAATAAGGCTTACCCCAAAGATGATTTTCCCCTCCCTAAGGTTGATCAATTGTTGACACCATGGCGGGACACGAACGCATGAGCTTCATGGATGCCAGGGCCGGTTACCATCAGATCCCCCTCCATCTGCCTAACCAGGAGAAGACCACCTTTATTACTCCAAGGGGAGTCTATTGTTATAAGGTCATGTCATTCGGTCTGAAAAATGTAGGTGCTACATACTAGAGGCTCATGAACCGGATATTCAAGTGATAAATTAAGAACACCATGGAGATGTACATTGATGACATGTTGGTCAAGAGCAGGAGACGAGATGAACACATCGCGGACTTGGAGGATGTCTTCTCCACTCTCTGGGAGTATGGGTTGAAACTAAATACGACTAAGTGTGTCTTCGAAGTTGGCTCTGAAAAGTTCCTGGGGTACTTAGTAAGCCGGCAGGGCATCGAGTTCAACCTAGAGCAGATACAAGCTATCATGGACGTACGTAGCCCCCAGACTGTCTACGATTTCCAAAAATTCATAGGAATGTTAGCCGCCTTGAATTGTTTTACATCTCAGTTGTCAGACAAGTGCAAGCCTTTCTTTGGGGCAATCAAGAGGTCCGGGTAGGATACTCGGAATGAAGAATGCGAGGAGGTGCTGTGGGATCAAGGAATACCTCAGGGTCCTCCTGACCTTGTTTGTCTTAGAAAGGGGGGAGATGTTGTTCCTATACTTGGCCATTTTCGAATTCTCCATGAACGGTGTATTTATCCACGAGCATGAGCATGAACAGAAACAAGTGTATTATGTGAGTAAAGCTCTGTTGGATGTAGAGACAAGATACTTGCCTTTGGAAAAGCTTGCCTTGGTGCTAGTCATAGCCGCAAGGAAGTTGAGGCATTACTTTCGAGTGCATCCTATTACCTTCCTAACGGATCAACCTTTGAAGGTGATCCTATGGAAGACAGACCTCTCTGGGAGGAAAGAAAAATGGGTCGTGGAGTTGGGGGAACATGATATTCACTACAAACCTCGCACGACAATAAAGAGTCAGGTGATAGTGAATTTCATATCTGAATTCACTAAGGGGGAGCCACCTCCCCCTGAGGTGGAACCATCCGCGATCAACCAAGTGCACTTCTGAAGGGATTGGTCATGGACCCTACAACAACAAGAGTTCCAGAATCAGGGTACTATTAGTCTTCTCGGAGGGATTGGTCACGGAGTAAGCCGTTTGGCTAGGCTTCAAGGCATCCAACAATGAGGCGGAGTATGAAGCCTTTATCTCTGGACTCAAACTTGCCGACGCAGCGGGGGCCACGAAACTAACAATCCATTGTGATTCCTTACTGGTGGTCAACCAAATCAATGGGGAATTCGAAGCAAGGGATCCAAGAATGAAAGCCTATCACCACGAGACCATGACCCTGTTCCACAAGTTCAAGAAGCTGGAAGTCAAGCAAGTTCCTCAAGATAAGAATGCCCATGTCGACACCTTGGCAAGCCTAGCCTCGGCGTTGGACTTCGATATGACAAAGAGGATAACTATGGAGTTTCTTCCAAACTCTAGCATAGACGATGTCCCTAGAGTGGTAGCCATCCTTGAGAGGGAGGAGTCTCCTAGCTGGATTGATCCGCTACTCAAGCTCCTTGTTTCTAGGGAACTCCCTGAATGTCCTAAGGAAACAAGGAGGATAAAGTTAAAGGCCTCGAGGTTATGGGCCTCCCCGAATCAAGAGTAGTACCAAAAATCATTCTCTAAACCCTACTTTATTTGTATCCACGAGGATAAAGTTCATCCTCTCCTGTATGAAGTGTACGAAGGCATATGTTGGGGGCACTCGGGTGGACGATCAATGGCCTATCGCATCCTATTGTAGGGATATTGGTGGTCGCAAATGCAAAGAGATGCACAAGCTCATGTTTGAAAATGTAATCAATGTCAAAGGTTCATTCCCGCTATCAGGCAACCAGTAGGAGCCTTGCACCCACTAACCAGTCCTTGGCCATTTGCTCAATGGGGACTCGACCTAGTTGGACCCCTCCCAAGGGCTCCTAGAGATAAGAAATTCTTGATAGTTAGGACTGATTACTTTACAAAGTGGGTCGAGGCAGAGCCATTGACTCATATCAGGGACACAAACACCAAAAGATCTGTATGGAGGAACATTGTGACAGTGTTTGAGGTCTCATGTGCACTTGTATAAGACAATAGAACTCAGTTTAACAACAAACACTTCAAATCTTATTGTGAGCACCTCAGAATTCAGAATTATTACTCCACACCATTGTATCATTAGGCCAACGAATAGGCAAAATCTTCAAACAAAACTATCATTAGCAGAATTAAGAAGAGGTTAGAGAAAGGTAAGGGGAAATGGGTGGATGAGCTCCTAAACATCCTTTGGGCTTATAGGACAACTCCGTGGACCTCAGTGGGCAAAACACCTTACACCCTTGCATATGGAGTAGAGGCAATTATCCCTCTAGAGGTGGGTCTCCCTACTATAAGAACGTAAGCTTTTGACACTGCAGAGAATGACCACCAACTCAGCCTGGACTTGAACCTGATAGAGGAGAAGAGGGAGATAGCTAATTTGCAGTTGGCAAAATACCAAGAATAGATCTCCAAACTCTACAATCAGAAAGTAAAACCCGGAAGATTCTAGGTAGGCTACCTAGTTCTAAGGAGAGTAGTCGGGAACACTTGTGACTCTACCGATGGAAAGATGGGACCTAATTGGGAGGGAGCATACAAAGTCGCGTCAGCGGGAGGCTCCAGGTCATACAAGTTAGAGGATATGGAAGGAAATATTGTACTTTAGCATTGGAATGTAAAAAAAGTACTATTTTTGTGAAATAAAGGCTTATTTTTGCTAAGTGTGTTGTCTTAGAATGGGCATGGCCCCGAAGGCAGAGTCTGAGACTCTTGTCTCCAAAGAAACAAAGGACCAAATCCTCCTGAATAGGGCATGGTCCTGAGGGTGAGGCCTTAGAAAAAGATTCACCCCAAAAATACCCAAGGGGCAAAGCCTCTAGGATAAGGCATGTTCCTCGAGGGGGAATACTTGGAAATTTTCCCATAAAAGAAGTCGAAGCTAAGGAGGAGGAGGATCCTGACTTCGGGTCTTGTAACCTCGGTCTTGATGGATTACACTTATAAAAAGAAAAAGATGCAAGCATTTAGAAAAAGAAAGCATTTTTTTCATTGCAAAAATGGACGGCTTTGCATCCCTCAAGCTACAAAAATAAAAGAAAAATTGAAATTACAAGGAAAGAAAACCAAAAGCTAATCTAAGGAGGCCCAGTGACCTCGTCGCAATGCCGCCTTCAATGTCTCCAAAAAGTTCATCGATGCTTGCAAAGAAGGAGTCGACTTTGTGAGAAGGAGGTGTTGTGTCGGCAAGAACAATAGAAGTGTCACCCTGAGGGGCAGGCATAGTGCCAATAGAAGAAGGAGTTGGAGCAGCATCGGAAGGAGTTGGAGCAGCATTGGCAGGAGTAGGAGCAACATTGACGAAAGGAGGAGTAGGATCGCCCTGAGGTGCAGAAGGAGCCATGGTCTCGGCCGTTGGAACTGAGATTGGAACTGGGGGAATCCTAGCATCTTCAATCGCGACTTCGAATGCAGCTTGTACCATCTCTTTAGAAGGAGTGTACTCATGCTCCTTGAAGAGTGGAGACTCGGCGAGAACCTCGGCAACCCGAAGTGCCTCATCCCACCCGACCTTGAAGATCTCCCTCTATTTTTTTTGACGACGACCAATATAATCGGCACATCGGTTGAAAAATCTCCTGCTTCGTCTTCTTGTTTGCCTTCAATTCAGTCCTTAACTTGTCGAACTCCTGGGCGAGGGCATCACAAGTTTGCTTTGACTCGACCATCTTCGCCTCGGCTGTCGACAGCTGCTTTATCACCTAGGTGATCCTCTTCTCGACGTCTGTGAGAGAGGCCTTAGCTTTGTCAGCTTCCCCCTTGGAAGCCTAACTCTCCTTGAAGAGCTTGGCAATCTGCGCTCCCTGAGTGGATAGAGTCTTGTCCCAAGCAACCACCTCCTCCTTAGCCGAGGCCATGGCTCCTCGAGCCTTCTCCAGCTCGGCTTGGAGCCTCTCGCACTCTTGGATTTTGTCCTAATGAGCATGGAAACGCTTAACAATGACTGAAATTTTTTGGGTAGTCTATTAAACAAAAGAAGGGATCACATCGATGGAAGACTAAAGCAAAAAAGAGGAAAGAAAAATTCATAAGTATGAGAGCCTTACCACCAACGAATTCTGAATCATAGAGTGGAACAGGTTATTGCTACCACGACCCCTGTGGACTGACATATTAGCATAAAAAAGGATGGCCTTACTCACGACATAGGCTGTGTGGGGAGAGGCAATGATGGAGTCAGTCACTCGGATCGACCTATTATCGTGATCTTTGGCCCTACAGCGCCATTCTGATGCATTGGGTGTCGATGTTGGTGTCGGCGTTGGTGTCGATGTTGGCGTTGGAGTTGGTGTCAGCATTGGCATTGGAGTAGGTGTTAGAGTAGAAGTGCCTCTGCCTCAACCACCGTCGTGCCTTTGCTTCACTCTCATCTCTTCCTGCTGAGGATTACTTCCATGCCCATGGCCGCGCCTAGTTGTTGTCAACACAATTGGGGCATTGGCTGGAGGAGGCGGGGGGAGGGGTGTGGACCCTTTAATTGGAACCTCGAAAGGGTGAGTATGCCCTAGATTGGGAGTAACATTGGAGCCTGATCCTCAGCCCTTTCTAGTAGCGAGAACAACTCTCTCCTTAATCAGACTCGAAGAAAGGCGAGGTGGGTTGGATATTGCTTTCTTTGAAGCATCTTCTTCGTCGAGGCTTTGAAGAACGTTGAAGACGGGCCAAGCTTCCCTGCCTGAAGCCTCAGTGTGGATGGTGGTGGATGGATCCCTTTTCTTTTCAACGTCGGCAGCTGTGTCTTTCGCCGCCTCTACCTCAATTTCAGTAGCTATGTCGGGGTCCTCCTCCAAGTTCTCCCAGAGTAGCGTCGACCACCTTAATGGTTTAAAAACTGAGGAGTTTGAGAGAAATTTTGATATCTTGGAGTGTAATCGAGAAAGAGGTGGGCAGCTTGGCCAAGACGGTTGTTCTCTAAGTAGCTCCAGATGAAGTTGATGTCGTCGAGGTTGACTTGATTGTGTGGGGAAGCAGTAGAGTCAGTGTCGGAGATGATTAGTGTTTAAAGTTAGAATTTTACTATGCCTTTTTGGGACTAATTGTGCTTTGATGGAGTTTAAGTAATGATATTTCAGGTCCTAAAGTGAACAAGAACTCAAGAACAACAAATATCACACTTGGATGTAACACCAGTGGATTAAGGGGAAAAATTGGAAAAGCTTGGAACAAAGCACGAATATTCGAACATGGATCAATGTTTGAATGTTCCCCTAAATTGATTGAGGACCAGGCTACTATGACATGGCGTGTTGCAGTCAAAAAAGAAAAATGCTGAGGTACTTGAGTACCACGTTCGAACGCCAACTCACGTTCGAACGCCAACTCACGTTCAAATGTGCTCTGAAATTCTAAGAAGACTAGACTACTGAGACCTATTGGCATGTTGCAGCAAAGAAAGAAGAACCATAGAAGTACTTGAGTACAACATTTGAACGCCAGTCCACATTCGAACGTTGTCTTAAGTTACTGAGGACGAAGCATCTGAGTGCAGGGTCAAAGTTGTTCAAGACGTATAGAAGTAACCATCATAGAGACCATAGGCCACTTGAGTTGGGGGGTTCAGACCCCATCTGGCGTTCGAATGCCCTTAAAGCAGAGATAGAGACAACGTTCGAATGACATATCACGTTTGAATGATAGATCACGTTCGAACGTCCCCCACTGACTGGCTGCAGAGTTGTTGGCTTTTCACTTAGACTTGGGCGGCAAACACTATTCCTTCACCCCCTCCTCTTTCTTGCATATAAATACCCCCATTGTGGGAGCTTTAAGGGAGAGAGTGGAGAGCTAGTTTTTGTACATGTCTTGTTTATGTTTTCATTTTGCATTTGTATCAACCATGATGGAGGCTAAGACTCCCCTTGTAGTTTTGAAGTCTATTATTTACTTGTGCTAAGTTTTTACATTCATGTTGTGACAACCATGATGGAAGCTTAGACTCCCCTTGTAGTTGTACTTGCTTTTATTTACAAGTATTAAGAGAGATAGCTCATCTTTTGGTTGTGGTAGAAACTCTCCAAAAGTAACTAACTTTCTTCTACTTTCTTTATTTCTTTCACTTCCATGGCTTGAGCTTTCTTCTTTCTTAGAAGAGTGAAACTCTACCACTTTTCTAGAGCTTTACCATAGCCGTGAAGGGTGGAACGTGATTCACTTATTCTTTGGTGAAGATCGGCTCTTCATTTATTCCACTTTACCTTGTAAGTTCTCTAATTGGAGGGATGATTATCACTCATTTTTTTAGCTTTACTCAAGCCATGAAAAGTGAGTAGTTCCTCATTCACTCTTTAGTAAGAGGTGATGAACATGTATTGATTATCCAGAAGCTATACTTGTGCATTTCCTTTATGCTTTCATTTTTTATATTTCATTCATTAAAGGATTGAATGCATCTAGCAAAACTAAGGTACTTTGTATAACTATGGGTTCTTTCTATGTCACGTATGACTCTTGCATGAAAAAACCTATTGGTTCAAGGCAAGTACCTAGGCTAGATCTTCATGATACATTTCAATCTTTATTATTATCGTGCTTTATCTAAAGAATAGAATATTAATTTCATGGTTGGATGCTTTGTAGAAACACTTGCTTGTTTGTAGACGGGTTAAATCTCGGCACAGGCAATTCTTGTCTACTTCTAGAAAGGCATCGGAAGCATGTGCTTAATTCTCACAGTCCATCTTTATCTTCCAATTAACTTCTTGTTGACATGGGAGTTAATTGAGCTATAAAACACAAGTATAATAAATCGGATGATTAACTACATGTTCTGATCCTCAAGCTAAAGGGTGACTGTTTTACATTTGAATTTATCTTATATTTTGTCTAGAAAACTCTTGAAAAGAATCTTCTATTCTATTCAAGAAATTCCACCACTCCAACCTCTCAACATTTCCAGTTACTTAGTCTCTATTATTGCTTACTCGAAATACCAATCATAGTTCCCTGTGGATTCGACTCAGGACTTAATCGGACTATTACTACAACTTGACTGCCTACACTTGGGTGTACACATTTCGGATCAAGTCAAGAGACCCCTAAACAAGAAAAAAATTATTATGATTATCAATGACAAAGGCAAGAACAGAAGCGCCGAAGAATTGAAAAGCAGAAAAGAGAGATAAGAGTCGACATACTTGTAGTCCACGATTGCTTGGGGCACCACAAGTCGGCGTACTCATGGCCGACTCCCCTCTTCCATTGACAGCTAATGATGAGTAGGTCATCTTTGTGTTCCTTGTCAAAGTCTGGAAGGTGGGTCACAAGGTACATCGTAGGGTCCTGAGCCTTGAGATAGAACATTTGCTGAGGCGTCACCCTCACCAATGTATAGCACAAGAGGATATCATCCAGGCCGAGGTTTAGTTGTAGTTGCTCATTCAAGGCGACCACCCCCATGATGATCCGAAAGGTATTTAGACAACATTGCCTCAAAAAGAGCCAAAATTGGGACAGGAAACGAAGAAGGAGAGGATGAAGGGGAAACCTAATGCCGCCTTCTATGATTCCATGATAGCTTTGGTATAAAAATACATGGTCTCCTCGGTGCCAACAATGGCACTGTGGCAACCAATAATAAAGCCATATACAGTTACTTTGGGAGGAATGGAGTAGCGGGTCTTAAAATTGGTAATTTGTTGTCGACCCTTAACAATGCGTTTCCTCGGCCTCATTGGCCCCGATGTTTTCACTCCAACGACATCTTGACATGGTTTAAACATAAAAACAGAATGCAAAAAGGGTGCTTCTTAGGGATGGGAGACCTAAAGATCACTATTGAGGACACATGGAAGGAAAAATACGACTGAAGGATGACGTGACACTACTAAAACTGAAATGGGGAAGAGTAGAGGGAGTATGGTCACCAGAAAAGAGAAGAAAATAGAAAAAACAGTTACTCACCAATGAGCACAATGTTGACCTAGGGGAGAGGATAGTGGTTCCTTTCGCTAGTGGATTCTGAGGAATTTACGGTGTTCAATTAAACAGTGTTCTCACCGATGGATCTCCAGTGAAAAGCTCTTTGAGTTGCAAGATTAATGAAAGTGGAGAAAGAGGGCAAGAGCTCTGTTTAAATAGAGCCAAGGGCTATGATTGCACATAATAGATGAGGATGGGCGCATTAAATGGGGCATGAACCCCAAGGAAGGGAACATGGCAGAAGCTAAGGGCAAGAGTCAAGCCCTTTCATCTTTTCATGTCACGTCGCCCCATCATATGAAGATCAAGGCCTAGGGGATAGTTGATGGGACTCTCCTAAGGATCAACAAGGAGCCGACATGTGTCCTCGTCATGAGAAATGTGAGTGCACCCTCGAGTGACACTTGTCCTCGACATGACTGTCCC